AGTATAGCATGTCGAAAAAAGTAAAATATAGTCATACTATAGCATGTAAGAAAATGTCATAGTATAGTATGTCAAAAAAATGTTATAGTATGTCAAAAAAATGTCATAGTATAGTATGTCGAAATAATTAAAAGAAAGTCAGTATAGTATGTCGAAAAAAGTAAAATATAGTCATACTATAGCATGTAAGAAAAATGTCATAGTAAAGTGTGTTGAAAAGTGATAAAAACAATTCACAAAAGTGTATGTCAAAAAAGGTACTTCAAAAAAATTCATACTACAGTGTGGCAAAACCACTAACAAAAAAGTAATTGTATAGTATTGAAAAAAAATCCATAGTATGGTGTATTGAAAAAAGTCATGAAAAAGTAATAGTATAATATGTAGAAAGAAAAGTCACCCCATAATGTGTTTTGTAAGGTAAGTAAGTAAGGTTATACTTAAGTATGTTGGAAAAAGTCATAAAAAGTCATAGTATAGTATTAAAAAAGTCATGGTATAATAGAAATGAAAAAGTCAAAGTATAGTAAGCAATAAAATAGACAGTATTGTATGTTGAAAAAGGTCAAACTATAGTTTATCGAAAAAAAAATACAAAAGTAAAAGAAATGCTCATTAAAAAGGTCTGTCTAATTTTGAAAAAATATACGTCGAAAAAAATATAGTATAGAATGGCAAAATAATACCACAAAAAGTCATAATAATAATTCACTTTGAGTCAATTTTATTTGTATAACTCAACATCACAAATTCAAAAATTTGCCTCACAGGGTTTTACAATATTGGACCCTCATGCAGAAATGACACATGAGATTAACAATAGCAGTAGTAGCACTATTAATAGCAGAAATAATAATAAAAATATTACTACCAATAAGCAGCCACAGTATATATAGTATGTTATTTAATGATGATAATAAAAACAGTAATGGTAGCATTAATAGTAAAAGACGTGTGATTCATATTATTTGGAGCAGTGGGTGTCAGGATGGACCATGGCAGCAGCACCACCACGGTCCAGGTATAACCATGATCCATGGAAACCTGTGAGGCGAGAAAGTCATAGTAGAGTATATATAAAAAAAAAAAGTCATCTTATCGTGTGTCAAAAGGTTATAGCATTGTAAGTTAAAAAAAAGTCTTTGTATAATATGTAGAAAATGTCCAGAACTTAATCAAATGAAAGTATGTCCAAAAAGCGTAATAAAAACCACGGTATAGAATGTCAAAATAAGTCATGCCATTGTATCTCAAGAGAAATGTCAACTTCATGGTATAGTAGTAGATGGAAAAGAGTCCTCGTATAATTTCAACAACAATCATAGTATAACATGTCACTGTTTAGTCATAGCACAGTATTTAGAAAAAGCATAGAAAAGAGAGTTTAGTTAGTGGACAAAAAGTAATTGTATGGCATCTATAGCAAAAGCAATACTATCGTATGTAAATTGCATAGAATAGTATGTCGAATCATACTCTATTATGTCGAAAGAATACTAATAGCATAGTATTTGATGAGAAAGGTCTCAGGCAAATTAGTCATCTGTGATTTTGAGCAATACAAAATAAATTAAATAGTATGTAATTTAGAAAAAAAACTCAGTCACATTGTTATATGTAAAAAAAAAAAGTCATAATATAGCATGTTGAAAAACTTCACAGTATAGTATTTTGAAAAAAAGTGATAGTATAGTACGTCATAAAAAAGTCATGGTATAGTATGTTAAAATAGTCATATTATAGTATGTTAAAATAAAGTAATTATAGCGTGTCATAAAAATGCCATGGTATAGTATGTTGGAAATAAGTCATAGTATATTATGTCAAAAAATCATGAATTATGTTGAAAAGATAAAAGAATATTTGTATAATACAATATAAAAATTTCATAGTAACATTACATAAAAAGTGCCATAAAAAATGTAAAAGTATTGCATTTCATAAAAGGTCATAGCATATTATGTCATAAAAAACATAATATTGTATAGTCTTAAAAAATGAAGAATCAGTGTTTTAAAAATGTCAAGAGTATAGTAGGTCTTAAAAGTCAAAGCATGACATTAACAAATATAGAAAGTCAAAGTACAAATAAAATACATACAATATTTTCATACCTTTATAATGAAATAAATATCCCATAGTATAGTATAAAAATGTGATTTGAAAATTCATAAAAATGTCATACTATAGCATGTCATATAAAAGTCATAGTATAATAGTTCTTTAAAAAGTCATAAAAAAAGATGTATGGTAAAATGTCACCTCGCGGTTGTAAGCCTCCGCCAACCAGTCAAGTTGGAGTTTACATCCAGGTCTGTGGAAAATCATCACATCATTTAAATGATTATGTATTTGTATGAAATTGTCATAATTAGCATATGAATTCTAGACCTATGGCCGAGAACATATTTTGTTAATGTAAGTGGATGTTTGTAACAAATTTAAAGACATTTTCTCAAGGGCATTCCTGAGATATCTCATTTACGAGAATGGCACGGGCGTGACGACACATTGACTTTCACATTTGACCACCAAAATCTAAGCTTCTCATCTTTGAGTCCAAGTGGAAGTTTGTGCCAAGTTTGAAGAAATTCCCTCCCTTCCACCTGCAGCTAACGGTCAGATCCGATATCCTGCCAATAGTACGTCTCTCTCTGCAGGCAGACTACATTACTCACACATGACTTATACCAACTTACTTGTGATTTCTTAAGCAGCACCTACAGATCAATAAGAGCTCGCTGTGCTGGAGTCCCTTTTAGTCGTCTTGTTCGTACTTCTGCTCTCACAAACTCAATTAGTGTTTGTGTGTTTTTTCCCTTTTTGTCTGCTCACAGAGTCTGAGGGTCACTCCAACCTATCGATCCTAGGACATAGTCTAGGCTTCTTCTGCCTATCAGCTGCATTTTCAAGATGTCCTCTGGTCTTTCTCAGAAAAACGGCATCGAACATTACCATTCATTATTATTTTTTCTTTATTTTTTTCAGAACAATAAAAATAGTTTAACAAACAAAGACTTCTTCATTCTCTCCATTTCAACTCATATTTACAGCTGAAGATGAAACAAACGCAGAGTCATGTCCATTTCATCTCCTCTTGACTCCGTTTGCACCCCGATGCTTCTCCCCCCCGCAGGCTTTGACAAGAGTACCCGGGCCTATTGCTGCGTCTTTGACGAGGTATACAGGCTATTCAATGATTGGTGACATACAGTTCGAAAGCAGACATCACTGACTTTTGCATTTAGGAGCTTCTCCCATTGTTCAGAACTGCACCACACAATAGGCCTGTTCATATACGGCAGGTAACATTAAGCAGGTTATGATTGACGAACACATGCTTTCACTTACTGGCATGACTTTGGAAGATAAAAGACACAATGACCCATTTCATTGTGGAGACACCACATACAAAAGAAGACAGGACAATTGAGAAGTCTCAGATCCATTCTTTGTCCAGAGGAGATAAACTGTTGTGTGAAGGGTCCCTGAGGGAAGTGAAGAAAGATGGTTTGAATGCACAAACAAGTCACACCAGACATAATGGTTAGCTTCAAAAAAACGGAGTGGCTATTATTACATTGTAGCGATACTGAATGAACACATGGAAGGACACAGACCTCTTACACAATATGTGCAACCTATGGACCTAAAAGGCTTTTTGATATAGTACTGCAAGCACCTTCTAAATGTCATAAAGCAATTAGGCCCTCTAAAGCACTCAACGGAAATGTCACATCATTTTGATTTACAGTTTCCTTCTCATTAAGTATGTGGATCGGAGCATGTCTCTAGCGACAATATTGTTTTCAAATGAATCGGAGATGTCACTCACAATCTGCTGAGACAGTAGATTTCAAAATCAGCAGAGACCAGACAAAGTTGAAGCTCGTTATTGCAATGTTTTCCTATAAGCATGAGACTGCAGCATCCCAAATCCCTGGTGGGAGTCGATTATACTGGGATCCCGGTGTGGCGTTAGTGTCCCTCCTTGCCAACTGAATACAATCACATGAATCAGGACCAAGTTGCTGAACAATCAACAGCAGAGGAAATTAAAGATGCCTGAGTAGTTGTGGCTATTGTGCACCTGATCAGGACAGAGGTATTAAGACAGTCTGAACAAACCCAAGAAGTCATATGAATCAAACTTTAACGAGATCAAAACATAGAAATATTATACAACAGAGAAAAGATGCCAAAAAAAAAAAAAAAAAAAAAGATCTAAATTACTGCGACGCATTGGAGTCTGAATGAGATCAGAGAGGCCTGGGAAATCGAGAGCAAACTGACAGAGGGACAGAGGCAGAAAGATAAAAAAAACCTTTGCGTCCATGTCAGGGTATTAATACAGTAGTCCAGAGGTCTTCATGTAATAGTGGTGGATTTGAGCACCATGTTTATGGCTGGGGGGGGTCAGGGGATCACTGGTCCAATCAGGTTGGAGGGTCATGGCTGTCAGAGCTGGTTTCCAGTGCAGAGCGGCAGGCTGGCACAGTGATGGGGGATAATGACGTCTTAGTGTCACATCGAATCACACGGCAGACACAGTGACAGAGCAGGAGTGGGCAACCTTGGCCGCAGGGGGCCCCAAATGCACCAGTTGGGCACAAACTGTCCAAAAAGGTCTGGCCTTTAGTGTTCCCATAGCTCCGTGGAGCTCCAGCACAGTGCAGAAAGGGTGAAATGGAGCTGGATCTACTCGCATTTCAAATGTTCAGAAGGGATCAATACATATCGTCAAGGGAGCAGTTGCTTCAATTAAGTCCACATGGCCTGTAGAAGTGGTGGATGTCTGTTCATCGGTTTCAGTCAGATATTTTCGGCCCAAATCAGAAGGGACATGAAGACTCATTTGTTTTTTTCCAGTTTAATCCTCTTCTTCACTCGTCATCCCCACCTTTGGGCCACATGCCAATGTGCTGGGTGCTCCTACAGCATAGAACAGACGATATGGGTTAGACTCGCATGCAATATGTCTGAACAAGAGTCCACAGCCATGAGGTGAGGCTGCGAATATGCCAGCATTTAGCTCAAAGCACCTCCTAACATCAGCATGCTAACATGCTGATGTTTAATAGGTGTAATGTTTACCACGGTCACCATCTTAGTTTAGCACGTTAGTATGAACATTTGCTAATTAGAGGGAAAACCCCACATGGCAACCCATCCAGTATTTGTTGAGATAACTTAGTTTGGACCGAGGATATTGCAGGAGATTTAACGTTTTCATTTGCAAAGCTAAATTACACTAAAACCCCGTCTAATGTATATACAACAATGTATTTAGACAAATTAAATTTACGCTAATCAAGCATCTAAAGAATTTCTTAGATGTATAACAAGAAAAAACCCGTTGCTTACCTTTTATTAATTTAGTCCTCTATATCTGAAAAGACTATATTTAAAGACTTCTTCATTTCCAAACATTTCCAGCGGCCTGTGGCAGTCCTTTCATTGGTTCCTTCATTGTCATACAAGTTTAATCCAGGGTTAGAGCAGAAGCAGAGACCTTCATAGTCCCAGCCGACTACTGATTCAAAAACACCCAGTAGCTCAAGTTTGGGTCTGCAATGACATTCAATCATCTCCCAAATGTACTGCATCTTTTATGCCTTATTTTCAATTGTTCAAATTTCTCCAGTGTTTTTTTGTTCATAACGTGTACGCTCATTCTGCTCCAGTGGAGGGGGGGGACGACGACAAAAATCCCACTCCATCTTCTGTTTTGCAAAGAGACCAAGTCACCTGTCAAGAAACACTGACAGTCGTTCATAGCCTTGAAAGTTAATATATATATATATATATTTATATATAAAAAAGGTGTTCATAAATTATTCAACAATGTTCAGTAGATAAAATACCACTTGCATTTCTGTCCTGAAATTATCACTTTGTGCTTTCTGCAAACAAAAAACATTGAAAAAGAAGCAGCAGATTTTTGCCAGAGGTTAATCCATATTAAAAAAAGGTCTTTAAATCTAAACGGCTCTCTCTATCTGTGTCGGTTGGATATTCCGTTGCTGTGTGTGGCGGGCTCTTCCAGCTCATCGTCCTCAAAGCCGTGAAAGGTGGAGGTGTCGCTCTCTGAGGTGGTGCCGAACAGCTCCTCTGCTCCAGCTAAAGTCCCATCGTCCTTCTCTTCTACACGGCGAGCTGGCACACAGGAGAGCAGAGGAACAGTCGAGCAAGAGCAGCGTCATGAAGCCGTCATACATTACCCATCAATACAGAACCAGTATGGACATAAACGTTATTTATAGTATTCTTTGGATTACTCACTTTTGCATTGGCAGGTTGAGTAGGGAGACCCAGATTTACCCGTTTTCTTTAGTGAGCCCTGGCATTTATTACAGTAGTTGTTGGGAATACTGGTCCCACCTGGACCCTTTGCACCTAAAAAACAGTTGGGAGTTTTAGGGACAGTTGATTTTACGGAGTATGGCTGAGCATGTCAAACTGTTTAAATACTAGTATTCTGGTATCAACACAAAAGAGATTCCTTTACGCATCATTTGTGTGAGTATACAACTGTTGTGCTTCTTGATTTAATGATTATGTGGACATGCTTTTGGTGTCCTTGGATTGGCTTCAGGTTGAACACTTTGATTTATAATAACTGGTCGAGTTTGTAGAAATGCCTGTTTGTGCATTCATTTGAAATGGCAGCAGTCAGCACAGCATTAGAGTGGAGCTATCCAATAGGACAGACGTATATAGTATGTCATGGTGAGTGATGGTTTGTTTGATGAAACCGATTGTGATTGAGTACAGGTGCACAGAGGTGTGTGACATCTTACGCTTGTGTCGGTCAGTCTGCTGTGCAGAGGGGGATTTAGACGCCACTGTGCTCCTCTCTCCGGCTCTGCCCTCCTCTGCGAGGTGGGAATGGGTGTAGTGGTAGCTCAGTCCCGTACGGTTCCTGTAGCGCTTCGCACAGACTGAAACAGAGAGCAGATGTTCAGTCCTACTCCTACGACTCGCTGCATTTCAGTGTCTAAAAATATGTTAGGCAACACGGCATTTACAAGTGCAGGATTGGCGTTTGGAAAAAGTCTCGATATGTTTTTATTGTACCGAGACCTTCACAAGGAGCTCGGTGAGCTGGTAATGGCTTTAGTTATAAAGCAGCATAACTCAAGGTGTCTAATGGAGGACACTACTCTGCTTCTGACTCCAACAAGGTGAGCACTTTAGGATCCGATTACAACAGCCAGTCAAATAAAACACAAAAAGTAATTAATATAGGGGCTAAATCAACACTCACAGCACTTGTGACACTACCACTGAACAATCTATATAAACAAATATCCAGAAAAAACTACTGTCAAAAAAGGAAACAAATGAAGGTACCTGAAGCCGAAGATTTTGAGTTCTGCTTTTGTTTGTATCTGTCTGAAACAGAGAAAACACCAAGCACAGACGAGGGAGAGTGAAAACAGCGTGTGTGTCACAACATCCAATACTCCCTGCCTGGAGTTTCCACATACATCTTGCATGTACAGGAATACCTGAGACTACAGTGGCACTAGTTCACCTTGTTTCTATCTAAAAGACAGGGTTGGTGATTGACTTTCTGACAACAGAGGCCGTGACTGTGATCTGTGTTTATTCTATACATATACAGCATAAAGCGAAAAAGTAAGAAGACAAGTCAGACTATGACTCTCTTTTGGAACAGGTTCTTAAAGAAAAATATGCTCAATAGTATGTCATTCAATTGTCAATTGTCTTATGTCATAAGAAAGTCATAAAAAGTCATACTGCAGTATGTCATAAAAAGTTATTTTTTAAAAACAGATCTTGTGCTTTTCCCTGTTTTTTTAGAATATGGACAAGAAAACTTCATTTTAGATCCAATACAAGGGAACTGAATTTAGTGACATTTATTAAAAAATATTACAAAATGAAGAGTAGCTTTTGCTTTGATACAGTATATATCAAACTAAGAATATTATAGTAAAAATGCTCAATATTTGCCTGTGAAATATTATTGTTATACAGAATCTCACATTGTAAACTCAGCATTGCACATTCACCAATTAAAACGGTTATGACACAAGAACAAACCTCATGTTTCAGAATTCATCTCTACTTACTGTCACAGACGTATGGCTTGTCCTCATTCATATCTGCCTTCCTGCGGCCTGAACCCCGACCCTGAGGAAAAAGAGTTATAGTAATAATTACCATTATAATAATAACCATCATAAAAACAATAATAATCATCTATATTTATATAGTACCTTAGAAATATAAAACAAAGTGCTTTACACTAAAGGAAGATTGACATAGAAGTAACATAAAAACAGGGAAAATAAAACACTTGATACAATTTTAAATAGAATACATAGAATGCACAACATGAACGGAAAATAAAACCCACTGAATAATAATAATAAATTAATTAATTATTAAAATCAGTACCCATATTTGCAGCATACACATACATTAATAAACACTCCAACTGCATCAAAAGGTCTCCATTCTCTTCAGTGGTGATTTGACTTTGTAGACAAAAACTCAAAGTATTTCGCCTCGAGTGCACTCTAGCAACATTTTACCAATAAAGAAGCGTATGCCCAGAGCCTTTCAACATGTACATATTAGATAATATGTGTGTATAATACAGCCACTACCCATGTATATCTGTATGTGTGTTATAAAGAAACTAAACTGTTCAATGCACCGATAATACAATTCTTCTTAAACCTCCAGTGGAGCCCCGACTACTGTTCAAGACAACGTAACGTGGGCACTTACTCTTCCTTTTCCCCGATGTCTCCTCTTGGGAGTGTTCGCCTCAAAGTCGTCATCATGGAAAGCATCTTCTGCTGCGTCTGCCTCCAGAACCCTCTGAGACAGAGAGACAGAGACAGGACAAAACCATTTCAACACTCCGCTCTGATTAAAGCACCAGCTTGCTGGGAAAAACCCCCAAAAAAAACAAAAAAAAAAAACAAAAAAACAACAAAACAAACAAAAAAAAAAAAAACACACAGATCAGCAACAACAGAGTAAAAAGGATCAATGAATTATTTTGAAGTTCTCCACACCATCTGTGTTTTTTGACACATGTTGAAATGCTCACATATCATACTGGTACTTAAAGGACCAGAGACTCTCTTTATTGCAGTTATTTGTTTATTACCAGAAGCATGAACATATCAAAATGAACTCTTTGTCTGAGGAGAGATGAGCCATTAGGCCTCAAGCCCCGCCTTCCTGTCTGTCCCGTCTGTAAATTTAGTTGAGATATGACAGACAACAGCGAGCAGCAATGGTATGCACAGAGCTACAGCGAGCGTTTCAGACAACGTGTGTGACTGAACTCACCTGGATCTCCAGCAGGCTGTCCTCGTCGTTCTTAGCGTTGTTCCTTTTGTCTAGACCCTCTCCTCGTAGCAGAGCCTCCAGTGTGGTGCTCTGGGTGGGCAAGGTGTCCTTGGCCATGAGGCCGCTTTCTGCACAAAGACAAAAACAGACAACACGATGAATCATCAAAACCATGATCTTTAAGGGCATGCAAACACGTGTCTATTGTTCCCTTCCACAGGTATATTATCCAATCAATGCAGTCGGTTTATACAGTGGGTACGGAAAGTATTCAGACCCCTTTAAATTTTTCACTCTGTTTCATTGCAGCCATTTGCTAAAATCAAAAAAGTTCATTTTATTTCTCATTAATGTACACTCAGCACCCCATCTTGACAGAAAAAAACAGAAATGTAGAAATTTTTTCAAATTTATTAAAACAGAAAAACTGAAATATCACATGGTCATAAGTATTCAGACCCTTTGCTCAATATTGAGTAGAAGCACCCTTTTGAGCTAGTACAGCCATGAGTCTTCTTGGGAATGATGCAACAACTTTTTCACACCTGGATTTGGGGATCCTCTGCCATTCATCCTTGCAGATCCTCTCCAGTTCCGTCAGGTTGCATGGTGAACGTTGGTGGACAGCCATTTTCAGGTCTCTCCAGAGATGCTCAATTGGGTTTAGGTCAGGGCTCTGGCTGGGCCAGTCAAGAATGGTCACAGAGTTGTTCCGAAGCCACTCCTTTGTTATTTTAGCTGTGTGCTTAGGGTCATTGTCTTGTTGGAAGGTGAACCTTCGGCCCAGTCTGAGGTCCAGAGCACTCTGGAAGAGGTTTTCTTCCAGGATATCTCTGTACTTGGCCGCATTCATCTTTCCTTCAATTGCAACCAGTCGTCCTGTCCCTGCAGCTGAGAAACACCCCCATAGCATGATGCTGCCACCACCATGTTTCACTGTTGGGATTGTATTGGGCAGGTGATGAGCAGTGCCTGGTTTTCTCCACACATACCGCTTACAATTAACGTCAAAAAGTTCAATCTTGGTCTCATCAGACCAGAGAATCTTATTTCTCATAGTCTGGGAGTCCTTCATGTGTTTTTTGGCAAACTCTATGCGGGCTTTCAAATGTCTTGCACTGAGGAGAGGCTTCCGTCGGGCCACTCTGCCATAAATTCCCGACTGGTGGAGGGCTGCAGTGATAGTTGACTTTGTGGAACTTTCTCCCATCTCCCTACTGCATCTCTGGAGCTCAGCCACAGTGATCTTTGGGTTCTTCTTTACCTCCCTCACCAAGGCTCTTCTTCCACGATTGCTCAGTTTGGCTGGACGGCCAGGTCTAGGAAGAGTTCTGGTCGTCCCAAACTTCTTCCATTTAAGGATTATGGAGGCCACTGTGCTCTTAGGAACCTTGAGTGCTGCAGAAATTCTTTTGTAACCTTGGCCAGATCTGTGCCTTGCCACAATTCTGTCTCTGAGCTCCTTGGGCAGTTCCTTCGACCTCATGATTCTCATTTGCTCTGACATGTACTGTGAGCTGTAAGGTCTTATATAGACAGGTGTGTGCCTTTCCTAATCAAGTCCAATCAGTTTAATTAAACACAGCTGGACTCCAATGAAGGAGTAGAACCATCTCAAGGAGGATCAGAAGAAATGGACAGCATGCGAGTTAAATATGAGTGTCACAGCAAAGGGTCTGAATACTTATGACCATGTGATATTTCAGTTTTTCTTTTTTACTAAATTTGCAAAAATTTCTACATTTCTGTTTTTTTCTGTCAAGATGGGGTGCTGAGTGTACATTAATGAGAAATAAAATTAACTTTTTTGATTTTAGCAAATGGCTGCAATGAAACAAAGAGTGAAAAATTTAAAGGGGTCTGAATACTTTCCGTACCCACTGTAAATGGTCCCAGAGCTGCGGTGCGTTACAGTACTCCAGCGGGCCGTTTCTTCCCCTTCATCACCATCAAGAACCGTAATTGTGACAAGAAGCATCGGAGCCAAAGTCTCAGAGTTGTGTGAGCAGCTTTCTATCAGCGTTCATTTCCATTACGTCTCTTCTCTTTCACTCACACTAGACGTAATATAAAGGCATATGGAAAATTGCTGTCATCTTTTTTTTTTTTTCCTGCAACAAAATGCATCCTCACAACTAATTTCATAGCACTATATTACTGAAGACATTTATATTTTCATTTTGAAAGAGAATGCATTGTCATTGAAGAGCTCTCAGTGATGCTGCGCTATGCAGACATTAGGCTGACTGCGTCTACAGGAATCTCTGAGGTACAATGTAGTTAAGTGGCTTATCGCTTTAACCTGAACACATCATGCCGATATCTCCTACAGTTCATCTGAAGATTCAAACAAACAGTGTAGGAAGCAAGCAGGTTGAGCAGACAAAGCAGAGCAAACAAAAGCTTTGACAGTCAGTCGGATCTGCAGATCTTATTTACACAATCTCTTCTCCACAGACGGCTTCACGATCATCCAGTTGCTTTGTGGGTGTTTGAAAAGAGGACACACTTCAAAGCCCCCACTGACTCCAGCTCTCTATCAGCCCTTCATCTTGCCACTGCGCCCAGACGTTTGCAGAATACTGAGCATGAAGTGCTGAAGCGACAGAAAACTGCATCGGTAGGAGACATGGGAGATGGGCGTGAGGATCAGATACAACAAGCTCCTCTAAAAATGTGCCCCCTCCACCATGTGGAGGCAGCCCCTCACCATTGTGTCTGCACACGTTGACTTTCAACTCTCTGCGACGAGACAGACCCCCCTCCCCCTCCCAACCCATGGTGGGGGGGGGGGCTAAATATAGAGCCGCCAGCAGCCTGCAGCAGGGAGCTGATTCTGCATGCAGCCCCCGTCTCTAGCACACCATCAGTTAGCCTGCCGAGCCAGCGAGACAGAGTCTGGCTGCTGCCCTGTGCTGGCCACCTCTGGCCAGCTGCAGAACGTGCTCCGCATCAGACACGCCAGGTTAAATCAGGGTACGTTTCCCCTCCGCTGGGCACCGGCAGACAGCACATACAATCCGCTGTTGCTGGAAAAGGGACGGAACAGAGTGGCGCGGTCCTGAGCACACACTCAGTGGAAAACAATAGGCTACAGTGGGATGTGTTTGGGAAACAAAGGCTCGGTTCATATGCCATCTCTCAAGCTTGCGTTCTCTTTCCAGGCCCGCTTCCTTACTTTCTCAACTTTCCAAACATTCGTCTTTCCATGATGCAATGCAGACGTACATTTTGAACTAAAGCATCGTGAGCATGGAGATCCATCGAAACACAATGTTTGATTCTCTCCTTTGTCCCAGTCATTCCTATGGATAGTGGAACATCCCAGTGGGTATGCAAGCTTTGGGCACAGAATGGACCATTATCTGGAGCTCAGGATCACTATCACTACAAATACACACACAGAATGCATGGCACAGTACGGGGAGGGATGCAGAGATGAAAGAGTCGTCAGAGTAAAAGAGACAAAACCAACCAGCGAGGGAGGTGGTAAGAAGAAAATAAGAGAGAGAGAATATAAAGGAGAGGGGGGTAAATGTGTTGAGTGAGCGGTTTCATGTGGCAGCCCAGAGAAGGCCAAATTTAATTCCATAACATTTATTAAATAGTGTCTGCAGTGGCCGAACTCTGTCTCACTGCTCCCAGCAGTGGTAAATCTAATTACATGTTCTACTTCTCACAAAACAAGTTTACCAGCCGGGATGAACACAGACACATTTCATTCTCGGAAAAATGACAGGCAGCCCGTTCTGCTCAGTGCGCTGACCGCAGAGTGATATGCTTAGAGCCAGATTATTCCAGATCATCACATGAGCTGAAGGAGGTGGTGGAGGTGGGTGGGAGACGGGGGAGAAGAAGCAAGAGGATCTTACCGAGCTGGAGGCCGTAGATGCCCAGGCGCGTGTCCGTGGCGTTGTGCAGCCGCCGTTTCTTTCTCCAGCAGCGGGCGGGGTACGTGTACATCTGCCCAGCTGCGACCCCTGTACAACAACAACAACAACAACAAGACGGTTTGAGCTGGAACACCTTGATTATAAAAAACAGTTACAGGATCTTTGCAATGTAGAAACACCTGATTAACAATTACAGATATGAAAGAAGAAAAGAAGAGTGCAAGATCTGCACATCATCGAGTCAAATTGTCACACTGACTATTGATTTTTTGTTTTGTTTGAGGTATCTGTATTGAGATTGACAAAACTTTAATTTCTCAGGCATTACTGAGAATAATATTGAGGCTGCTTGAACATAACTTAGTAGCCTCCAAATTATTCATTTGTTTTATTGTCATTTTGGATTGAACATCTTTCGGGTCGGTTTAACAAATTGAGAAGATTGAAGATGTGTTAAAATGTTGAGGGGAACTATCTACTGTTGTCTTACACTGAATTAATTTAATGTTTGACTGATTAATAAAAAATAAAAGAGGAATCAACAGAATAATCAATAATGAAAATAATTATTTGCAACCCTAAATAATAGCTTCAGATAATACAGCTGTGGACATTCATTTTACAAGCTTAATGGACCAAAAACACCGTTAACCCTTTACGCATGCGCGTGTTTACCCACCAGGGCTGCGGTGATGTCGTTCCATCCAGATGTAGCAGTTGTTCTGGGCCACGCCGGTCTGCGAGTCCAGGAATGGCAGGCGGACGCTGCGTTCAGCACACAGGCGCGCATTGTAACTGCGGCACTGCTCAATGGCGTCCTTGTAGAACTGGTCGCCCAACCTGCGGGGCGGGTAACGTTATCAGCAGAGGTCAGTGACACGGGACGATGTGGTTGACACAGTGGCTTACAGAATAACCAGAATGTGATCACATTCAGAATCGTTTGATGTGCAGATGAGCCTTTTTATCATGCATGTATGCCGCCTTGATAATTGCCTGTTGCTTTGCTACAGATCATTAAATCAGTGAGCCGAGTCAGCTACAAGATTTGTATGCCTTAGAAATGCTCCTCAACCCAAATAATGCCGTCAACGTCGGCTCAAACTCCTAATCTTCAAACTTCTTGTTCAATGCGAGTCTCAAACCGACAGCTGAGCTACTTGCTCCTCTTCCAGCGTGCCATCGGGAAGTTAAAACACTGCTCCCACTCCTTAGGTTAAACATGTTATTACCTCTGTGGGCTCTTTGTCTGATCTGATTCTAGATAGGCTGTGAGCGACGGCGGCATTGACTGAGTTACGCTACAAAAACATAGAATCTGGTGTCTGATACAAAGTCACTCCTCCGATCAGCAAGCAGCTGAGACTCTCCTACTTTAGTTCCACTTTTCTTAGCACCACTGAGGTTTTGGCAGTCCCTCCGGGTTTCAATGTTAATATTCAGAGTGAAATGGGGGGGGGGGGGG